TTTTGCATCTTAGATGTTCTTGGTAACAGGACTGCCTGAAAAAACCCACAGGATTCAGAGGAATGAACCAGTAGTAGGACTACATTGTGAACGATTGACAAGCCCTCCACTCCATCCTCAAGATTGAAACACTTTTCTGCAACAGAGAATGACTAATGTTCCCAATGCACCTCTTGTCTGAAGCTTTGTAAGAAATGATGAGTTAGGTGTGCATAGGGATTGTGACAAGTTTGGGATCTAGTGATGGATCAGTGTATGCAGAAAGCCCAAATGAAAACTGTGAGAGGTAAATTCTCTCGTGCTTCCAGAGTGGTCCTCAGATCAGTTGAAAATTATCCCTGCCAAAGAAATGTAGGGGAAAAGCCAGGATTTAATGGATGGCCTCCTAAAGGCAATATGTTTGGCTAAGATCAGCTGGGAACAGAGATAGGCTGGCATCTGCAACATGGACAGAGAACCACTCTGTGCTGCCTGCTCTTGGACTCCCAACTAGCGCCCAAGGAGCCCGTCTGCACTGGGGAGCAGTCATGTTGCAGCATTTACCCCTACACCTTCCTGCAGGGAGAGAACTGGACAGACTACAAGCTGCTGAAGAAGTAGCAGGATGATGGCCACGGAAATACAATTCAGATGGATTCATGCTGGAATAAATGTGCAGGCGAGGACATACTCAAGGTAACAGCATGAAGGACTGAATCTCAAAGATTTTCCATGAGATGGACTAGGAGGGTTAAGGCAGAAAACTCCAAGTTAGGAGACCAAGTGATTAGAACTGAAAAAGGGGAACCCTATCATTAAGTGAGCTATCTGTCCAGAGCACTGGCAACATCACCTTGCGAGAGGGACGTGGCCATGTAGCTTCATATAGGTGAGAAGGGGAATATGTTGACCCTAGCACTCAACAATGAACTGTGCTGGTGCCTAGAGCCTCAGCATCACTCAAATCCCTCACGCTGTCCCCTGCCACAAGCACCCTCTCACCTCTGCAATGACTTCCCAGGGCCTTTGGTCCAGCTTTTGTCTTGTCACGTATCACAAGGACAATGTGCTTCAGGTACATCAGGGTTATAAGCCAAGGCCTCTTGGAAGCAAGCAGGAGTTTTTCCATTCTCTTCAGCGGGACTTTCATCAGGCCTTAAAGTGATGAATCTTCCCTTCTCTCCCCTTTCTGTCACTCTTCCTCTTCAAGATGTACTCTCATACACGAATGGACATTCTCACCTCTGAGTTTAGAATGAATTTAAAGAGGATTATTAATTTCTCTCCTTTTTTTTGTGAGTTTGACTTTTAGCTTAGCTCAAAAATATTTCAGGTCTTTAGAGCCATAATTAGACATATTGTCTTTAGCCAAATGCCAGATAATTTGTACGCACTTCAAGTAAATCTCTGGAAAGGTAGGCAAATATTGAAATATGTAATGAAAAAGAAAGGTGGCATGACTAAAAAAAACAACCCCTAGTTTAAATCTTTTAAATTACTTCACCTTCTCCCTCTCATTAGTAAATATTTTAGTTAGTCTTGTGTTGAACAAACCCTGCTTTCAGGGTCTCTCTCTTTCTCTCTCTCTCATTAACGTTCTTTTTTTATTTTTAACAAGTCGTAAAAATCCAGTTATTTTTAAAATTCACATTTTGTGTGATCTAAAGGGCTGAAGAAAGAGGAAAAAAAACCCCAGCACTTTAATTCAGTCTGGGGTGGAATCTGAGGGTTTTTTTTTTTCCTTTCAAAAGAAGAGTTTTCTTTTGGCAGAAAACATTCATGGTAAGAAAAGCACTTTGGGAAATAGCATATAAAGAGAGTTTAAAAGGGGGACATGAAAAGGATGGAAGAGTCTAGCAGCGACAGAGGTAATCAGAGAATTTACAAATTATTTTTTTTGACAATGTAGACAGCTTGAGGAGGCTGGCTTCTCTTTCGAGATAAAGTCACTTGTCATTCGGTTAGAAAAAGACAAGGGAAGTGTCAAGAGTTATTTGAAATGTAAAGTATTGTTTTTAGCTTCTTTTTCTTCCATTATTGTAGTAGCAGTATATTCTCTCTGTGGGCTGAGAGATGAAAATTGCACCAGATAGGGAGGGGCCTGTGGAGAAGAGACTTTTGAGGGCAGCAGGTTACAGCATCATCAAGATACAGGGACCAGGATGTAACAAGAGCAACAAAAAAAAAACATCGGCACATGAAGCACGAAGGATGTGGAAACCAAGGATTAGCATGGGAAATATGAATTGCAGACAGTCATAAGACCTGCAGTAGTGACCCACATGGGACACATCAGAGCACAGGGCCCCCAAGAGAAAAGAAGAGCCTCAGGACATAGAGTTGAGGACTAAGGACAGCATAGGAAATAGGTATTACACAGACAGTAAACCATAAGGTGACAGCACCAATGTCAGGACATGAAGATATAGGGATCTGGGATGTCAATGGCTATGACAATATGGGACCACTGGCTTTTAGGGCCAGGGATCCCATAGTACAAGACTAATGTCAGCAAACCCACCTTTCAGCCAAACCATACTTAGGTCTGCCCAATCACTGCAGGCATTCAAACATAAAACAAGACCCCATATGAGCAGTGAGTATTTGCCCATCCCATCTGACCCCCAAGGGTTTACATGGATGGGTTTCTTAATCTCCCATTGATGGAATTATCATTTCTGCCGAGGCAAAGTATTTCTGCTTTGGCCAGTTGATTCCTTGCTGGAGGAACCCCTTCTGTAATACTTCCCTACGTCCTCCTGCACCACTCAAAAGCATCAGAGGAAGGGAATTTGTGATCAGCTTCTGCAGCACACTCACAAAATAGCTTCATTTGGCAATTTTCACCCCCCTCGCATGCCCTGACCTTTTCAGAGCAATCTTGCTGTCAAAATACAATTCTGAAATTCTTTCTCTGGGTACCCAAGAAATTCTCTGCCTCCCACCCCCCATTTTTTTTTTTTTTAGTTAACAAGCTGCAAGTCAATTTTATATGCAGTGCCAGGCCTGCAATGAGCTGCTGCAAAGGAATGGTAGTGCTAATAGACTCCAAGCACACATTTCATGTATTCACCCAGGCTGTGTGAACTCAGCAACCCTGAGAAAGTTGCTTCCCAGCCCCCCTTGGGAACGCACTCCCTGTCTCTCACTGGTTTTCAGTCTCTCTCTCTCTCTGTTGGCAAAGGTTAGCTGGAGAGGTATCACTTTGATGTCCACGGCAGACTCCAGCCTTGCCTCTTTAGCCTCTCCCTGTAATGGCTGCAGTTAGCAAAATAGCGCTGGTGACAGATAAGCATCTGGTAACCCATGGCAACCAACTTCCTTTAGAAAATGGCCTTCCTGTAATTTCATAAATGTAGTTTTTTTCTGAAGAGGACAAAAAGGGAGAGCAAATCAAAAAGGTATCAGAGGCTGAATGGGTGTTTGTGCACATGTCTTTGTGTGCTCGCAAGTTTGCACATGCAAATGTACAGTGACTGCCATGCACATGTATTTTTTAATAGGGATGGTCCTCTTTGCAAATGTGTTTGGGAAAAGACAGACACCTGTTCACAGCTATGAGTTACAGATTCAGTCCAAGAGATGACACCGGTATTTAGATAGAAAGACAGACAGTCAGACAGGTGCACGAGTTACTACTGCAAGGTGAGGTCAATATATTCCATTTCCAATTTGATTAGATGGGATAAATAGCCAGACAGGAAAAAGCGAGATACCTGATAAAGCAGGGTAGTTAACTAAAGGTCATGCAAAATTGCACTGGAAACTGGTAGCTATAGAGGAGTGGCAACATGGAGGTAGAGTTGTTAGGGGTAGTTTCACTCTAGACATACAGGAGTAAGTTTTAATAGATATAAGTTGCAAAAGTCTCAACAAAGACCTTCCCCACAGCCCAAAGCCCTATCACATAGACACAGCTGTATCCATACCATAGCCAGCAATGTACCACAGATAGAACTAGCACCTCACCCCCATGCCCAGACATGCACACACATACACACACAGAGCCTCTACAGAGTAAAACGCCACTTCACTCTCAGCCAACCACCCCATCACATACATATCCACCACAAACATACAGTACCCTACTTAATGCCTAGGCCAGCACAGAGAGGCTGCATAAATATATATGTTCTCTCCAAGCAATGCTTCTACCCAGTGGGTGGGTACCAAGGTAAGGATGGAGCAGAGATGGGTACCAGAATGAGGATGGAGTTGGTGTGGGTGGCAGTCAGCTAGGGGTGCATTTGCAGGAGGTGGCAGGACCAGAGTAGACACCCTGGAAAATCTTTATTCCCACAGAAGTCCATAATGGCTAGTTCAGGCTTTGGGACTGGTTTTATTAACTGTGAGATCTTGAAGACTAAAGGCATAAGCTGCCTCCCCTCTCTTCGTGCACAGGTTCCAGCTGAGAGATGAATCCAGCCAACACTACTAGAATTGCCTTTCCATCCCATGTTTGTAAATGGAGGCAATCAACAAAGCCCGAACTATAAGGAAACAGATGCTAACGGACTGTATTGACAGCATGCATGTTATTTCATGTATGTATTTTTTTTTAATTAACTTTGCCTTGAAATACATTTTCTATGGGCCAAATAATTGGATTTTCCTTTGTTAAAAGGAGGGAACATAAATTACTCCTGTTGGGTGCAGATTAGGTTACGGGATTTCTTTTCTTCTGTCACCATCAATGCCCCAGTGTCAGAGAGCTTTAATATTTAATGCATTCCTAATTAGTCTCCATTGGCCCAGGGCACTTAGCAAAACCTGACACCAACCATGGAGTCAAGTTCATTTAGAGAGCACAATTACACAGGCATCATTTCCATATTGCAGCCAGCACACCCAAGAAACTCCCCTTCCCCGCCCCAACTCATATTCCCAATTTAATTTAAAATAAAAAATAAGGCTTGATTCCCAGTGACAATGGACAGAAATTATCTCATTTGGTTGGGGCAGTGACATTTCCAAGACTCCTTTAATCACTAGGAAACTGTGCTGCATTGAACAGTGTTTACCAAAGGAAATTGCTGCTTGTGTCACTCTGACGGCTGATGCCTTGTTGCTTGCATGCTCTGAAGATTGAAGTTCATGCTTTCCCAGTGCTCCAGCTGATCTTTTCAAAAGCCTCTGGAAGAAAAAAAATAAAGTTTAAATAAACTACTTGTCCATGGAGATTTAGCCTTCAATCACCAGGCAAGTCAGCAGGGTGCAACACAGAGATTAGTCTGCAGCCACAGATCCCCCATACTGAGACAGTAATATAATAATTAGAATCTGTATTATGGTAAAGCCTAGAGACCCAAGGGAGGATTGGGCCCCATTGTGCTTGGCATTGTACAAAAATGTAGTGAGAGAGTCTCTGACTGAAAGCGCTTACAATCTAGACAGACAAGACACACACAAAAAAACTGCTTGAAGAAGATGGAATCATTGGGTGTATCTACACCTGCAATTAATTCAAAGCAATAAACTCCGGAGCAGTTTGAGCAAGAATAAATTACTCCCAGGCACAGCGTCTACATGTGCACCCAGGACAGCAGCAATTTGAGCAGGGGCGGATCAGCTTATGTCAGGGCTGGAGGCATAGGGAGTCATCCCCAGGCTTCAGTGGTGACATCGGACAGCGGAGGGGCTTGCTGGGGCACAAGGGTGCTAAAAGTGCGGAGCCATGTATCTAAGTAGCAGGCACAAGTCTGGCCTCCTACTAGCTTGGCTAACTGGGCACAATTTATGCCTACAGTGTTTTCTACGTGTATGTTCAATCACACACCAAAGGTTAATATGGTCTCTGACAGTACTATCTTACAGCAGCATTAATTAGTTTACTGTGGTCTAATGGCATCACATGTGTAAATGGTGGTGCTTTACTCTGCAGCTAATTAGTCTACTCCACAGTTCACCACATGTGTAGATGCAGACATTAGTTTTGCTTTAGAAGTGGGGAATGTAGAAAAAACCCATATATATATAACAGAACTAAGCAGCTGTAAACAGGCCCAGACTTTTGAAGGAATTCAGCATGTGTCCAAGATGAGTGCTGATCAGGCCCTGACTGAGTGCTGAGCCCTGGACAGCCTACTCCTTGATGTGCTTGAAAGTCATGGAAGAAACCTGTGTTTGGGACAGCAGACTATCTACGCAGGTAGAGCTGGGAACTGTTCCTAAGCCCCGTCCTAGTGCTTCAGTTTTATAAATCATAAAACCGTACTTCTGCTTCCACTATTGTGTTATTTTATTATTATTATTATTTTTACAGCATTCTAACCTGCAAAGCCCCAAGCAGGGCTAATCAATTTTTTTCTGATGGAACAGTTTTCTGTAGCAAATTAGTGATCCAGTGAAATGGAGATGGAAATGCTTCACAGGAATGTAGCAATTTCATCTAAATCTGCAAAGAAAAAAATGAAAACATTCTATTTAGTTTCAATAAAACTGAAGCACTTTTGTTTCCATCATATCATTGCAACAGTCCCAAATGATTTTTTTCCAGAATATATTGTGCTGTACTATCCAATACACTATGTTATATTAATATAAAAGTGGAAATACTAAAGGTGAAGCAAATAGTTCGATAGGGTCATTTCTATCTGTGAGAATTTCCCATGAAATAATAATTCAAGGGGGGGAATCACTTGTTTTTGTTTTGATTTGGGATAAAGCTCTGGCTGAAACAAAATTTGGAGTCTCAAGCAACTCTAGTTCTGGTCACATCAGCACTTTCAGAATTAAACCATTTATCCAATAAATAACCAGTGCTTTACAAAGATGTTTTAGTAATCAAAAGCAATCCAGTGCAGAGCAAAAAAGGTGGATTTCAGAAGTTTTAACCAGCAGATTTATTCTGTCATTGGAACAGTAGCTTCAGAGATCAGGAAATGTGGATTAGTCCTCCGCCACAGTCACTGGAACAGCCATTTCAGAGACATCATTTGCGTGCAGTTTGGCAACAGGAGGTTGCATTCAGCCAAGGCTGAACGCATCAAGTTCATTTCCCTTTCATTGTTGAGGCTCTATTAACCATGTTGCAAACCTAGCAATATAATTGCAAGTCTTGAAAAAGCTTGGAAGTATGAAGTAACTGCCCTGCAAAAGCAGAGAGACCACAAGCAGGTAAACAGAATCTCACTTCAATTATTTCCTTTAAAATCTCAAGGTTTTTATGGGGGGAGCGAGGGGAAGAGGAGACTCATACTTTTTAAAACTTGTGGTTGTCATTATGTATTAACCAGGGGCTGCATGAACACTTGATATTTGTGAAATAATCTGCAACTCCCAAATGTTCCAAAATTTTAGTTTAGCAAACAGTTCTTCAACCCCAACTAAAGGAAATTATTACAAGAAACCTCTTGGAGTTAACCCACCACTTCTAGATGCCAAAACAGTGTCTCAAGTTTTGAAGAGGAATCGGGAGCAGTCCAGTTGATAACAACAACAGTGTCCATGTTATTAAAGACTCTGAAGTGGTTCAACGGCAAGAAAATCTAAGAGTAAGAACAGAAATGGTACAGACAACCAGGCTCTGAAAAGCACCTGGACCAGATTGCATCTGTGGCTTTTGGTTTAACTAGTTTACACCATTGCACCTAGATTAGCACAACATCCCCAGGCAGGTCTAGAAGGAGAAGATGTTGAATGGAGGATGCATCAGAGAATTGTGCTAATCAGGAAAAACAAAAACACGGACCAAGCAGTTCTCACATTTCCCCCTGCCTTGTTACAGACTGTTCACATCACCCATATCAGTTCAGACCTGTGACTCCTAACTAGGAACCTTATTTCACATGGTAGTCAAATGGGTGCAAATGAAATAAGGAAGTATCAAGGATCAACTACTTATTGGCCAACAGATTATGAAGACTTCCAGATCCACAAAAAAGAAGCGACAGGAAAGTATGGCTAGACAACAAAGAGGTATTTGATTCAGTCCCACATTCACAAACATGGAAAATGCCAAGAATGTATGCCACTGCATAAATTTATATTATATGAAATTATAAATTTAGCTATGGCACGTGGAAGACAGATCTCACCATCCGTAGCTGCAAACTAACCACTATTAATGAAATGCAAATGAATCTTCCAAAGGAACTCTTTGTCACCCCATCTTTTTACTATATGACCTTAAACTGCATGCAAACTCAGATTAGATATCCTAGCCCAGCGAAGACCTTTTTCAGATGACTTCTGTATGCATTCTGGACAAGACGAAGGTGTCATTGTCACCATCAGCAAAAGACAACTTGTAAGGGGAGTGGTTTGAGTACAATACCTGAGGAAGTCATAGACCCTATTTAAGATATGTGGGGAAAGAAAAACCTAAGCAGAACACAAAGATAATTTTAAGAGGTGGGAAACAAATGCACAGAAAAATGGCTGATTGAGAATGTGGATGAAGTTCCTTTTAAGGGACTAGGCAGACAAGGTTCTTTGGGTGAATCTGATCGCTTTTATTAGACTGACTTAAATAGTTGGAAAACAATTTTTAAGCAAGCTTTCGAGTTCAAAAAACCCTTCGTCAGGCTACGGAAGTTTCATTCTGGTGCACAGTTGTTGTTTGGTCTCTCCTACATATTTTCCATCAGGGCATTTGGTGCATTGGATGAGAGATATTACATTCCTGGAGGTGCAGCTGTAAGATCCAGGAATGCTGATGGCTCTGTTGTGGGGTGTCGTAATAGTGGTGCGGGGGGTGGAGATGTGTTGGCAGGTTTTGCATTTCTTGTCATGGCATGGTCTGGATCGATTTGGTGTGTTCTGGGCCTGAGGAAGTTTGCTTCTGGTGATGAGGTTGGCAAGGTTCAGTGCTAACTGCGCTCCAGAATGAATGAATGCACACCGGAAATCTATCAAAGACAGGAATACCTGTGGGGGCACATTTCTCACAAGAAAACCGCTCTCTCTCCAATCTCTCAGTCCTGATCCTCAAAGAAAACTTACAAAACACTTCTCAGAGACAAGCCTATGAACTCCTCTTCATCAACCTCCTGGATACTAAAAATCATGGACTAAATATAGACATTGGATTTATGACACATTATAACCTGCCTGACATCTGACTCCCCAGGTACGTCTCCACTATTCATCCTCCTTCTCTCACCCACCCCCCCAGCCTGTCTCCCACCCATTGACTCCTCAATCTACATCTTCACTGACTGCCCGTCTCGTATGCATACCAGCCCAGCCTCTGGCTTCTTTACTTTTCATTTTATCCAGGAAGAGCTCACACCAACTGCTGAAACTTCCTTAACCTGATAAAGGGTTTTTGAACCCGAAAGCTTGCTTAAAAATTATTTTCCAACTATTTAAGTTGCTCTAATAAAAGATATCAGATTCACCCAAAGAACTTTGTCTGCCTATGTCCTTACACCAACATGGCTACAACCTACACCCTTTTAAAGGACTAGGAAGAGCTCACTTAGACCTATCAGTGAGACAGGCCTAATTACAGTTGCACTCTGGAAATAAGCTGGCCAGGATGCCATGCTCTGAAAACTAGTGAAGCCATACATAAAGGAAGAAGATGCCACACATGTGGTGAGAATATAATGCCTATTGTCAGCAGTTGTTCAGCACTGCCTCAAGGATTGTATACTAGGGAAGGCATAACCGAGTAGCCAGTACCATTCACTGTGAAATGCATGGCTAATATCATTACCCCAGGGGTTAGAAGTGATGGGGTCACAAATGTAACTCAGTAACAGAAAATACAAAGTGAAATCCTTTGGGATTTCACCTTGTGATGGAGAAGGCAAGAGGAAGCTAAAGAAACCCAGATATCTTAATGATTTAGAAGCTCTCAGGGTTAGACATGCAAAAAGACACTATCCTAGACATTGCATGTCCATGGAAAAAACAGCTGGCAGAAAGGAAAGAAGAAAGCATCACCAGCTATCAACCTTTTAGGTATAAAAAAGACTAGGAGAAAGGGCTAAAGTTGAAGCAATGGTACTAGATGCCTTGGGGACTCGACTAAAGAGCCTGAAGATCAATCTCACCATTTTGGTATTTTCACCAGGATCCAGTGTGTCCCAAAACGTGTTATTTCATGACATCTCCCATCATGCACCAACACATTTACTTTTAAAGATCTGCCTGATTCTGAGCTCAACATGAAAAATTGCCAGCTCATAGACAGTGCCATTGGTCTATGATATTGTAATGTAAATTATTAACAGGAAGAATAATCTCACAAATGTTTCAGGCTCAGTTTCCACACAGTTGCTTAAATTTTGCTGAAGAGAATATTTTATGGAATAAATAGTTAAATATTTAACAAAAGCAATTTTCACACAGTATAGTGAATTGTAATATTTGTCACTGAACGCATGCTAATCAGTTTAATAAGTCACATGCAAATTTCTCTACTCTTACTGGATTATTCATGAAATCCAGCAGTGAAAATTATCAATTACTATTGTCACAATCCAAAGTGTTGTTTGAAATTTGTGTCTTTGGTTTCTGTTAAATTGGTTAAGGTCTAATCCAAACCCATTGACGTCAATGGAAATTTGTTCTCAACATACATGACAAATCTGTGTCCCTCTAGGAACTGCTCAGCTTTGCTGCACACTGATTGGATTTGCTAAATATTAAGAAATAACTCCTATTAGTGCCCAGAAGAAGCTCTAGGCTACAATGTGGAATACTAAAACATTTCAATCCATGAAAGACTCCATTGCCACCCAGTAGTAAAACCCAGTCCAGTCCCAAGTTGGCCCTATGCAGATCCTCCATTGGTCCATCAGTATGACCAGGCAGAAAATGAAGGGTTACTCTAGAATATTAACTTGTTAGACTGTTGGTCTGCCCCCGGGCCATCCGGGAGCTTAAATAGCCAACAGTTAATTAAAAATAAACTGACACTTTACTTTAAGGATAGTTTTAATAACCATTTATAAATGTTACATTAAAAATTCATGCACTGTTATCAACTCCTGCTAAGGATTTACAGCACAATGGAGGTGTTATGAATGTTTTATAGGTTCTGTGGAAAACCTCTTCCTGAACAGATATTTTCAGAGGTCTATTTGTCTTTCCTGGGCCATAGTATAAGTACCTGAGACAACAGCAGCATGGCAAATACAAACTGCTTCCCAAAATCTTAGAACCTAAATTTAGTCTCTCTTCTGCAATGAACAGTTTGTACGTAGGACCACACGCTATTTACTGAGTGGTTCTTTGATGTGGCCTCAAATATCTGAAGTGACTCTCTAACTGTGATGTGCAGCACCTCATTTCTAATCCATTGGGATAAGTTCAAGAGTTTTATAATACGCCACCTCCTATGGAGGGTTTGTGGTCTACTTGTTTCTGAATGGGTAGGTCACAGCCCTCAGTAAGGTCATGATAACCAATCAAGGGGTCACAAGAGATTGGAAATATTATTACACT